GTCTCCAGCCTCCCCTACACCCCGGCCAACGCCACCTTGGATCGTGGGTTCTTCAGCCTCTTATCACCGGCCTGAGGACTACGTGTCCCGAGGCCCCGTTGCCCCTGTGGGCTCCCTCGCCGGTGTCCCTGCCGGCTCTTCCTCGTCTCCCTCGCCGGTGTCCCTGCCGGCTCTTCCTCGTCTTCCTCACCGGTGTCCCTGACGGCTCTTCCTCCGGCTCCCTCGCCGGCGGTTCCCGTCCCCGCTTCCTTACCGGCTCCGCTGGCTCTGCAGCTAAGATCCCCGCAGCTGCGGCTCTCCTCGTCCTCGCTGCTCCCGGCACTGCTGCAGTTTACCCTGCCTAAAGCAGCGACGCCCCGCAGGTGCCTGCTTCCGGCCTCGGGCTTCCCTCCGGCTCTTGCGTCCTCCTGCCGCCTCCCTGTGCTCTTGGGGCTGTGCTTTATTTCTGCCGGGTGGTGCCTCTCCCTGACATCACTCGGTCCCAGCTGAATGTAAGCGTGACTGATAAACCGCGCGGGTGGTTTTTCGGCGTGCGTGCCCCTCCTGCCCTCGACTCCTGCAAAGGGTAAGTAGGTGCTTCCCCTGGTTTTGGGCCGGGGTTTCCCTCTAGCCCCGGCGTCCCTGGGACAAACTCAATTAAGTTTTTTTGATTAGAACTAATGCTGACACGCATACTCAGTCACTACCCCTCTTCAGGTTTGGTCAAGAAATATTAATAGCTTCAATCATCTGTGTAAATTTGGCTCCTGATTTTTTTTTTTTCCCTAGGCTTGCAATTTCTTTTCAGATTTACACTGTGGTTTTTACTTCAAATGTTACCTGGGTAGATGAAGAGCTGACTTGCAAATAAAAAAAATTGCAAATGAAAAACTAAGCACTCCCCTTCCCACTCCCCTTCCTGCCAAAGCTCTGAATGTAAATGGAGTAGGAGTGTCGACTGTTTCCAAGATTATCTCCAGGACTATGCCAACTAGCTTCATCTTTCAGATTTACACTGTGGTTTTTACTTCAAATGTTACCTGGGTAGATGAAGAGCTGACTTGCAAATAAAAAAAATTGCAAATGAAAAACTAAGCACTCCCCTTCCCACTCCCCTTCCTGCCAAAGCTCTGAATGTAAATGGAGTAGGAGTGTCGACTGTTTCCAAGATTATCTCCAGGACTATGCCAACTAGCTTCAGATAGATAAGTGTTGGGAAGGGAAGGAGAGAGAGTAGTGCAGCAAAGTCAGGAGCAAAGCCTATGGGCTATAGTGCTTACTCTTTACTGTTTCTCTGGTCTGGTTTTTGACTACATCTCCCCAGTGAATCACTTTAGTGCCTGCCTCTGTTTCTACTGGCAGCTCCTGTTGCTGCTAATAGTTTGTCGAGCACATTTCCACAGTGTAACTGACAAGATTCTTTTTAAGTTTCACTGCTGCCTGCAGGGTTTAAAACAGAAAAAATAATATCGGCTAGTTCTGATGTCTCTGGTAAAGCAGTAGCAGAAGCACTGGAGATCTCACTAAACTTAAGAAGATAGCATTTGTTTACATTTATTTAAATTTAGAAAACAACCTCTGAAACTATATGGACTGGAAAATTTTACTTTAAATGAAAACTAAAATGTTGCAGAAAATGATAGCTTAATGGGAAAGTTTCCTGCTTGCTGCTGGCAATGTTGAGAGAGTGGATGGGGGGGGGGCTTTTGTTTTTTTTTTTAACTTACATTTCAATTAAAATTAAATAAGATGTAATTGGATTCTCTCAGTTTGTTCTGTGTGTGGAAAGAGTTCTGGTACTAAAAAAAAAAAAAAAAAATTCCCTTAGCTGGTATCTTGTAATGGAAGATCAGAAGACAAGCAGAAAAGGGCCACAGAAGTGATTCAGGGATGGAGAAAACGGTTTAGGCTTAAAACTTAATTTAGCCCAAAGTATTTGTGCATATTGTTCTTCTATCTTGAGGGGAAAGCCTGGAGTTCTAAAGGCTCTTTAATCTGTCAGAGAAGGGCATAAAAGGAACTAATCAGAAAGTGAAGACGACAAATTAGGAACAAGGAACAGTTACCACGCTTTTAATAGCATGGATGCTTAAGCCATTGGAACAATATCCCAAGGCAGAATTCTTCTTCATCTCTTGGCATCTTCAAATCAAGATGAGTCCTTCCTGAAAGAGATGCACAACGTGAGTTACTAGACTCAATACAGGAGTAACCAGATGTAACCGAATGGCTTGGGACGTAGGGGATCTACATGGATGATCTGATGGTTCCTTCAAGTCTTACAGTCATTTTGAAAGGCAGATTGTATTGCCTGTCCTTGTTGATGCTGGATTAGTAGTTTTATTTCAAATAAAACACTTCTTCTTGTAAAGATCATGAGTATAGGTGTTAAATGTAAACTATTTCTCTATCGATAAATTCCCAATGTTAATTTTCTCATGTTTTACCACTTTTTACTTTCTTTTTTTCATAGCAAACCTGATACCCTCCAGTGTCCTGTTGTGCTCTGCGGTTGGCATGGAAAGACCTCACTCCGTGCCTTTGTGCCCAAGAATGAGAGACTTCATTACCTGAGGATGATGGGAGTTGAAGTGTTTCAAGCAAAGAGGAAAGAAGAAGATTTGGGAAGTAAAATGGAGGAAGGAAATCAAGACAACAATGCAGAACAGGTGGAGGAAGCAGCGGATGGGGCAAGTAAAGCTAAGGAACATGATGTCCTGGAAATGGAAGCTGACGTGGGTGAAGAACCTACCCAAAAGGTTGTGGAAAGCAGTGGAGTAGAACCCGAGAGTAAAACGGGCAGTGCCCAGCCTTTGAATGAAAATGCTAAAAACCATGTAAGCTTAGAAAGCAGAGACAGTGCTGACCACGGTCATGTCAAAGATTGAGTTTTCATTGGCTGAATCAGTCAGCATTACTTTAGGGAGATTAACAGCTAGAGTTGCATTTTGAGCATGTAAATACATTTTTAAGACCACATTGCTTCTTGGAAGAAGGTTGAAGTTGGCATGATGTATTCTTTTACAAAAGTTCCTCCCTGTTTTATTTTTTAAATAAAGAGGTATAATGGTATTTATAAGTCTTTTATTTTACCATGCAAGTCCATGTCATTGATGGCTTGCATCCGTTGCTGACAATGGGCTCTGTGCCAGTAAAATCTAATACTCCTTGTGTTGATGAAAGGATTAATTGGGGAAGACAATCTCTGAATCCTTTCTGCAAGTTTATCTAAGAGTCAGTTTTGAATGACTACATACAGTTTTTTGTTTTCTTTTCTTTTGTTTTGTTTTGGGGGAGGAAGGGTAGGCTTTTCTTTTTTTAATTCAAAGCATGGAGTTTTTAAAGAACCATAATTAAAGTGAATGTTCCTTTCAGGTAAATAATGACATTACAATTGTTATATAGGTTAAAAAAAGACATTGGGCAAATAAGTTACCAAAAACCTTCTGTTTTACTTTGACTATGCTCGGTGAAAACAAGACTCAGTGTTTCTTTTTCAGAAAAAAGGGTGGGTGGGTGGGTGGGTGTGGTACATACTTGTGGTTCAGATTCATAATGGCAATGGCAGATTCCTGCCAATTTAAAAGCTCCTGTTTAGACTCTTTATCTTTTGTGGAGCCAAATACATGGTATTGGGATATATTAGAAGAGACTGTAACCATCTCTTCCCAGTGTTCACCTTTTGTCTCTGTTGTTCCTTCCTTTTGTCACTGTACAGTTGGCCTAGGGGTACTGTACTGTGTGAGACTGTCAGGTCCGTCTGAAAACAAGCAAGGTGGCACAGAAGGCACTCATCATCTAAGCAGTGCTCCAGAGCAAAAACAAATTATGTTGTGTGATCAGTGTTGACTAGTTATTATGATTATCATTATTTATTGTGGGTGGAATTTTAAAATGTTGGTCTCGACTGACCAGGGGCCAAAATGGTTCAAGTACATTTTCACCAGTGCTTTGACCCCAAAGCCAAGATGGACCCATATTCTCAAACTGCATATTCAGAGAACATTAGTTTACAAACTTGATATCACCTTGTAGAGAATAATGCCATGTCTTCTGATATGCCTCCATTATTTTTTTTTTCCCATGCGGAAACTTATAAAGCATCCCAGCCTTGACTGGGAGAGGGATTAGAGTTTGTATGCCTATATGCATGTAGAAGGGCATCAAGGTTTTTAACACCAGATCAGTGGCAAAATGTGTGAAACCTGAGCAGATAGGCAAACAAAACGAGCAAACTGTATGCAGCCAGCCAAACCAAAGGACCAGTTACTAAGAGCTGACTAAAACCATTAAGAAGGGGATTTGCAAAGTCCCAGAACAAAGGAGAAAATGAAAATTGCTCATTAATATGCATGAAGTTAATTCTCTTGCCCTCTCCTCGAGTTGTGGTAGGTCTGTGCAATGGTGGAAGTGCCTGTGCTTTGGCTGTTGTGGGGTTGCAGGGCTCGTCAGCCAGGGTGTCCAGTGTCCGGTGAAATGGACTTGTGGAGATGTGCAGCGGGTTTTGTTGGGTCCAATAACCTATTGGTTTCTGCAGGATGTGTGGGTAGGTGGCTTGACAAGGAGCGTCCCTTTCTGCATGCTGGTTTGCCTCCTGCCCCTTGCCAGTCTGTCAGCAAGCTTTCTGGTTCCCTTGTACTTCTTGGTCGCTTCAATGGGTTTCAGCAGCTCTATGAACGTGTCCTCCCTAGAATCACTTTTCTGTCACCTCCTTTATAGTCAGCCTTGCTGCTATGGTCAAAAAAGTTCCCTGTTCTGGACCCCTATCCTCAAGGATGCTAATTTAAAAAAGATGTGGAGCTGGTCAGACTTACAGCAGTAACAGACAGAAAAAGAGAACCGAACCCTTGCCCTCCCCCTCATTTTTATTTTTTTTTTACTTCCAATAAGCTTGCTCTGGACAGCAGTGCAGGAGCTGCCAGCAACTGAGCATTTTCCTAAAATGAAAGGAGAATTTAAATGTAGGGGTTGGTTTCTGCCAGTTTGAAATTTGGCTGTGAAAGCTCAAATCAGTGTCCAGAGCAATTGGCATAAAGCACTGAGATGATTGCTCCAGCAGACAAAAGTGAGGGACTTTCCACACCTGGTTTGTCAGCTGTCATATGCCAGCAGAGGAGTGGTAGTATTCAGCTGGCCAAAACCTGGGGTTTTATCAGTGTGAGAACACTCGACATGCAGAAGCCCACAAACTTCTGTTAGGACTTCTCTTGGCAGAACAGTTTAATGTTGACCCAGTGGCTCTCAACCAGAAGGCGTTTTTACACTTGCTCAAGGGGTAGAGGTGGAGGGGGATGCTTTAATTAGAGCGGCTCCAAGAGCCACTCTAAAGCGCCACAGCGTCTCGTGTATCAGCATCCCCACACTTCAAAATGGTGGCAGGGTACGTTAACTAAAGCTCATCAAACAAGTTTTATTTCGAGAGCCCCACCGCCATTTTGAAGCGTGGAGATGCTGTGATGCACAAGACGTGGAGGCTGACTGGAGCACATTAATTAGCATGCTGCAGCAAACTCAGTTAATCAAGTCTGCTCTGATGTGCTGTAATTGAAGCACATTGGAGCAGCCTCGCGGCACACCTACAGGGACCCGAAACATTTTGGGTGCCTGAGATCCTTCAAGGGTGATGCAGGTGCTGCATAATGTTAGCACTCTTAGGTGTGCAAGCATGATTCACAGGATAAACTCGGAAATTTCAAGTTGAAATTCATAGTGAAAAACATTCTGAGCCATTGTGGTCTTTCTGAGTTCTTTGCAACAGAATTGCTCTGTTTTTCTATAGTCATAAAATGAGTGAAAACTGAGAGTTGGCACTTTCTGAGGGTGCCCTTAGTCTAGAAAGGTTGAGAACCACTGGCATAGAGTAGACCTCGATGGCCTCCAAAGATATCATCAAACAGCCATTTCTGTTGTTTCTTACATTGGCTAGTTTGGAATAAAGTGATTCCCACCCCCCCCCAATGTAAAGTGACATTGCACTAACAGGCAAATGGCTGAGCTTTATTTTCAGTCTCATCTTTTTTGATCCTTACTGTTCATATACTCCTAATGTTCCATGCTGCAGAAGAGGAGTCTGGTAAAAGGGCATCAGACAGAGACACTAAGCAGTTGTATTGCATTCAACACTGCTGTTAAAGCCTCTTGAAACAGGGGCTGAAGTGCATCTTTGTGTAAGTGGCCCTTTCAGATAATTGTAGTGGAAATTTCCTGCAATCAATCAGCTTTCACCACACAAAAAGACTGTACATGTTTGGCAGGTTTCTATGAATGTCACCATTTTGTACTGAGGGGACCCTTTGTCTATGAACAATAGCCCATACTTGTAACTGGGGTGAAAGGAGTGGGGTCCCTAGATCAAGGAGACATCTTCCAGAACCAAGTCACTAAACCCATCTGTAGCTGCTTAGAAAGGGCAATGCCAGCCTTTATGAGCTTTGTATTCTGGGTGACTTATTATGAAGTGGTATAGGATGATCTCTGCGTCAAGTGGCTACCCATACACATTATTCTTTAACTCAGGATAAAATATATCTGAAAAGTTTGGAAGAAGAGGGGGAATGCCAAATGGAAAGGTTCCCCTTGTCTTTCTGCCATAAGCCTTTCTAGGATTCTGACCTTCCTTTCATTGTTTGCCTACAGTGGCTCAGATGTAATTATTAATGACAAGTAATTCGGGTCCAACAACTAACCTGCCTTGTTTTAAAATGAGTAGGCTACCTCCTATTCAGAAACTTTCATGAGATTTTTCAGAAGTGTTTAAGTAACTTGAATACGCCCGTCCTGTTGAGAATTGACTGCAGTTGTGTTTTGAAATCATTAAGTCTCCTAGAAATTCCACCAGATGTGCCCGGAGTTCAGGCTCCCAATCAGAGGTGTAAAACAGGGCCAGGCACCTGGAGCAGCTGCCACACGTTGGCAGCAGTGACTTCCAGTTGCCACCACATCACTGGTGTAACCATGTGGTTGCGGCACTCATCTTTTTTCTGCCCTCCCCAAGTTGGCACCCTGTGGTGGCTGCCCTGGTTACCCTGTCTTGGTTATGATACTGCTCCCAATGGTAAATGTTTAGCTAAATGTTTAATCACTGGATGTTAAAGAGTACTCCTACAGCCTTCTTCATCATATATCTCAAAGCGCTCTATAAAAGCAACTGCTACCCTCCTCACTCATGAAGGCAGGGAGACTGGAATAATTTGCCTACTCAACATGGTGTTGGCAGATCCAAGAAAAGTATTTAGGTCTTGCTAATATGAGGGCTGTCCTCCTCTTATAAAGCTGACAAGCTTTGACAAGTTGAACTATTAAATAATCAGATCCATTCCAGGTATTCATGAAGTGACAGTGAGATACAACGTGGCACGATGTTTGTGACAAGACAACCACTTATACTGGCTTATGTAACTATTTTTCTTTTCCCCAAGGCAAGGGTTTATAACACAAATAAAGATGCACAAAGTGTTTTGGTTACAGTGCTTTTTATCCTAGTGGCACAGCATCCTGAAAAGGTACCTATCAACAGGTCAATTTCTCAGTGCACTCTACTCATAGCACTTAATTCTGTGCTATATAAAAAAAGAATGAGTTAAAGCAGAAGAACTGCAAGAGCTGGAAGCAGAGTTGTCGTTTTCCTAGCTCAAAACACAAGAGGGAGATTTGTTCTGCTACCATGAGGAGAAGTAGGATGTAAAAGTATTAAATGTACATGTTTGGCTGTGTCAGCCTTGTCGCTATCTTGTAACCTTGTTACTACTACACGGGTTTGGCATCATCTGAGGTTTGTCCCAGTTACAAACATGTTCAGTACTTAAATATAACTAATAATTAAAACATTTCCTTGTTTTTTTTTTCACATAGTGTTTAAGACTTATACATGCTACCAATAGATTAAATTAAATTTTAATAACTAGTTGTTTGCAGCTTAAACCGTAATTCTTAGAAGAATCATGATTTTGTTTTAGCTGTCAATGGAGAAAAAGCCTAATGTCTCAAACTTGTGGTTCTTTAACTTTGGTTTAAAGGTATCCAAGGTTAGACAGACCTTTGGATGGTATGGTTTCAGACAGATGAACCTGCCG